ACTATGGAATTCAGTCTCAGAAGTTGTAATGACTTGTTGTTGTTGTTGTTGAGTCATTTAGTCGTGTCCGACTCTTCGTGACCCCATGGACCAGAGCACGCCAGGCACTCCTGTCTTCCACTGTCTCGCACAGTTTGGTTAGACTCATGTTTGTAGCTTCGAGAACACTGTCCAACAATCTCATCCTCTGCCGTCCCCTTCTCCTTGTGCCCTCCATCTTTCCCAACATCAGGGTCTTTCCCAGGGAGTCTTCTCTTCTCATGAGGTGGCCAAAGTATTGGAGCCTCAGCTTCAGGATCTGTCCTTCCAGTGAGCACTCAGGGCTAATTTCCTTAAGAATGGATGCGTTTGATCTTCTTGCAGTCCATGGGACTCTCAAGAGTCTCCTCCAGCACCATAATTCAAAAGCATCAATTCTTCGGCAATCAGCCTTCTTTATGGTCCAGCTCTCACTTCCATACATCACTACTGGGAAAACCATGGCTTTAACTATGCGAACCTTTGTTGGCAAGGTGATGTCTCTGCTTTTTAAGATGCTGTCTAGGTTTGCCATCGCCTTTCTCCCAAGGAGCAGGCGTCTTTTAATTTCGTGACTGCTGTCACCATCTGCAGTGATCATGGAGCCCAAGAAAGTAAAATCTCTCACTGCTTCCATTTCTTCCCCTTCTATTTGCCAGGAGGTGATGGGCCCAGTGGCCATGATCTTCGTTTTTTTGATGTTGAGCTTCAGACCATATTTTGCGCTCTCCTCTTTCACCCTCATTAAAAGGTTCTTTAATTCCTTCTCACTTTCTGCCATCAAGGTTGTGTCATCTGCATATCTGAGGTTGTTGATATTTCTTCCGGCAATCTTAATTCCGGCTTGGGATTCATCCAGCCCAGCCTTTCACATAATGAATTCTGCATATAAGTTAAATAAGCAGGGAGACAATATACAGCCTTGCCGTACTCCTTTCCCAATTTTGAACCAATCAGTTGTTCCATATCCAGTTCTAACTGTAGCTTCTTGTCCCACATAGAGATTTCTCAGGAGACAGATGAGGTGATCAGGCACTCCCATTTCTTTAAGAACTTGCCATAGTTTGCTGTGGTCGACACAGTCAAAGGCTTTTGCATAGTCAATGAAGCAAAAGTAGATGTCTTTCTGGAACTCTCTAGCTTTCTCCATAATCCAGCGCATGTTTGCAATTTGGTCTCTGGTTCCTCTGCCTCTTCTAAATCCAGCTTGCACTTCTGGGAGTTCTCGGTCCATATACTGCTTGAGCCTTCCTTGTAGAATTTTAAGCATAACCTTGCTAGCGTGTGAAATGAGTGCAATTGTGCGGTAGTTGGAGCATTCTTTGGCACTGCCCTTCTTTGGGATTGGGATGTAGACTGATCTTCTCCAATCCTCTGGCCACTGCTGAGTTTTCCAAACTTGTTGGCATATTGAGTGTAGCACCTTAACAGCATCATCTTTTAAAATTTTAAGTAGTTCAGCTGGAATACCAACACTTCCACTGGCCTTGTTATTTGCAGTGCTTTCTAAGGCCCATTTGACTTCACTCTCCAGGATGTCTGGCTCAAGGTCAGCAACCACACTACCTGGGGTGTACGAGCCATCCATATCTTTCTGGTATAATTTGTCTGTGTATTCTTGCCACCTCTTCTTGATGTCTTCTGCTTCTGTTAGGTCCTTACCACTTTTGTCCTTTATTATGGTAATCTTTGTATGAAATGTCCCTTTCATATCTCCAATTTTCTTGAACAGATCTCTGGTTCTTCCCATTCTGTTGTTTTCCTCTATTTCTTTGCATTGCTTGTTTAAGAAGGCCTTCTTGTCTCTCCTTGCTATTTTTTTGGAAATCTGCATTCAATTTCCTGTATCTTTCACTATCTCCCTCGCATTTTGCTTGCCTTCTCTCCTCCGCTATTTGTAAGGCCTCGTTGGACAGCCACTTTGCTTTCTTTCATTTCCTTTTCATTGGGATGGTTTTCGTTGCTGCCTCCTGTATAATGTTGCGAGCCTCCATCCATAGTTCTTCAGGCACTCTGTCCACCAAATCTAAATCCTTAAACCTGTCCCTCACTTCCACTTTGTATTCATAAGGGATTTGACTTAGATTGTATCTTACCGGCCCAGTGGTTTTTCCTACTTTCTTCAGTTTAAGCTTGAATTTTGCTATAAGAAGCTGATGATCTGAGCCACAGTCCGCTCCAGGTCTTGTTTTTGCTGACTGTATAGAGCTTCTCCATCTTTGGCTGCAGAGAATATAATCAATCTGATTTCGATGCTGCCCATCTGGTGATGTCCATGTGTAGAGTCGTCTCTTGTGTTGTTGGAAAAGAGTGTTTGTGATGACCAGCTTGTTCTCTTGGCAGAACTCTATTAGCCTTTGCCCTGCTTCGTTTTGAATTCCAAGGCCAAACTTGCCAGTTGTTCCTTTTATCTCTTGACTCCCTACTTTAGCATTCCAATCCCCTATAATAAGAAGAACATCCTTCTTTGGTGTCACTTCTATAAGGTGTTGTAAGTCTTCATAGAATTGGTCAATTTCAGTTTCTTCAGCACTAGTGGTTGGTGCATAAACTTAAGATTACTGTGATGTTAAAAGGTCTGCCTTGGATTCGTATCGAGATCATTCTATCATTTTTGAGATTGCATCCCAGTACAGCTTTCGCCACTCTTTTGTTGACTATGAGGGCCACTCCATTTCTTTTACGGGATTCTTGCTCACAGTAGTAGATATGATGGTCATCCGAACTGAATTCGCCCATTCCCGTCCATTTTAGTTCACTGATGCCCAGGATGTCAATATTTATTCTTGCCATCTCATTTTTGACCACATCCAACTTACCAAGGTTCATGGTTCTTACATTCCAGGTTCCTATGCAATATTTTTCTTTACAGCATTGGACTTTCCTTTCGCTTCCAGACATATCCGCAACTGAGCGTCCTTTTGGCTTTGGCCCAGCCGCTTCATCAGCTCTGAATCTACTTGTACTTGTCCTCCGCTCTTCCTCAGTAGCATGTTGGACGCCTTCCGACCTGAGGGGCTCATCTTCCAGCGTCATAACTTTTATATGCCTTTTGTCTTTGTCCATGGAGTTTTCTTGGCAGGGATACTGGAGTGGCTTGCCGGTTCCTCCTCCAGGTGGATATGTTTGGTCAAAACTCTCCACTATGACCTGTCCATCTTGGGTGGCCCTGCATGGCATAGCTCATAGCTTCTCCAAGTTATCAAGCCCCTTGGCCACGGCAAGGCAGTGATCCATGAAGGGGAATGACTTCTTAGATTACATTAAAAGGGGATAAAACAAATTCGTGGAGAATCAATGGCCTTTAGTCATGACAGCATCATATGCTACTTCCAGAAGCAGAGGTCATGCTCCTCTAAATGCTGTCTGCTGGGGATTTACCATGGGAGAGAGGCCTGTTGCTCTAGTGTGCTGTTTATGGGCTTCCCATGGGCATCTGACTGGCAACTGTGAGAGCAGGTGCCCAGTGTGAAACATGGACAACTTATAAATGCCATCTCCAACTCCTCAAAAGATTCCGTCAACGGCGTCTCCAAAAAAATTTACACATCACTTTGGAAGACAGGCGAACTAATGCCAGTGTACTGGAAGAAGCAAAGATCACCAGTGTCGAAGCTATGATTCTTCAACATCTGATTCGTTGGACTGGTCACGTTGTTCAGATGCCTGATTATCATCTTCCAAAACAACTACTCAATTCAGAACTTAAAAATGTCAAGTGTAATGCTGGTGGTCAACAAAAGAGGTTTAAAGACTCTCTCAAGGCAAATCTAAAAAAATGTAGTATAAACACTGACAACTGGGAAACACTGGCCTGCGAGCACCCCAATTGGAGAACAGCCTTTACTAAAGGTGTCATGGGCTTTGAAGACGCTTGAACTCAGGAAGAAAGGAAGAAACTTGCTAAGAGAAAGGCACACTTGGCAAACCCTCACCATGATCAAATCCCGCCCAGGAACCTATATCTCCACTGTGGAAGGATGTGTGGATCCAGAATTGGCCTCCACAGTCACTTGCGGACTCCCTGTTAAGATCATGTTCATGGATGACAATCTTACTCGGCTACGAGTGATTGCCAAAGTGGTTAGAGTGTTGGACTAGACCCCAGAAGACTAGGGTTCAAATCTCCACATGGCCTTGAAGCTCATTGGGTGATGTGTTGTTGTTTTTAATTATTTATCATTTTCATTTTACAATAAGAACAACAAATAGTAATCCAAATACCAAATACACATTTAATTTCGACTTCTCCCACCCTTTCCATGGTTCACTTCATTAATTTCTTTTCCACTACATATTCTAATTGATCTCTATCGTTTCATTTTCTATATCTGCATAGTTATTACTGCTGAATTTACTCCGTTTAACAGTACTCCGTTACTGTTAACCTTTTAATATGCTTATAATTTTGCAAATAATCTACAAAACATTCCTAATCTTCTTTAAATATCTCATTTGGGTGGTGTTGGGCCAGCCACTGTCTAATTTTCGTCACAGGGTTATTCCGAGGTTAAATTGTGGTGACCAGAATCACGTATACCACTTGAGCTTCTTGGGAGGAAAGGTGGGGTATAAATAAAATAAAATAAGCAGAACATTGGAACTTATCGGCTGGGGTGGGGAACCTGTGGCCTTCCAGAGGTCACTAGGCTACAGCTCCCATCATCTGAGGCCATTGGCCATTCTGCCCAGGGCTGATGGGAGTTGGAGTCCAACAGCATCTAGAGAGACAGTTTCCCCACCTGTGAGATTATATCCTTACAAGAGTATTCCTCCTTTTCAGGGCTTTTTTTTCAGTTGAAACTTGCCGGAACAGTCAGGTGGGCACCATTGCCATTACAAGAGAACAACGGAGGCATTCATGATGGGTTCCGGCACTTCTTTTTCTAGAAATATTACACTGTACCTGTTCCACTGCTTCCAGACCCTTAAAATTTGCCTTTGTTTCTCCTCTTCTTCCTCCCTCCTTGTTGTCCAAGCAGTCTCCCGCTTGAACAGCCTGGATGCAGCCGTCCACCGCCTCAATGTGCAGTTCCACCTCATGGACGTGAAGGTCTCCCAGTTCTCTCAAGGCCTGGCTGAACTGAAGGGGAGCGTGACGGAGGCTCACGAGTCGCTCGACTCCTTGAAAGAAGTCGCCACCCGCAACCAGAAAGAGCTCGGAAAAATCGATGGTGAGGACGGGGCAGGGAGGCAAAGCACATTGGGAGTGGTTAGGAAAACAGGGAACAGCCCTATACTGTCATTGATTCCATTCCCTTTAATGCAGGAATCTTTCGCCTAACCTGGTCCTCAAACCCACGACCCTGAAATTAGGAGTCTCATGTTCTACAGACTAAGCTATCCCTCCAGTAAAGTGTTTTTTGCTTTTGTTTTAAAGACAAAAGGCCAGCCACAGATCTCCAGCTTCATGTCTGCTTCTGGCCCTCAGCTTGCAAGGGCAGGAAGTGGCTAAAGGGCAATAACAGACAGAGCCCTTGGAAATGCAAAGCCATGTTGAGAGCTCGACCGAGCGCCTGAGGCCGCCAGTTGCCAAATCCCTCCTTTAGCTCAAAAAGCTGTCCTTCTTTGGGTGTCAAGATTGTGTGGGGTGTGTGTGTATGTGTGTGTCAGAGAGCCAGGATTTCATATGCTGCTCAGAGCTGATGGAGCATAAGGATCAAAGCAAAGGTTATTCAGGGACAGAGGGGGATTGTTCGAATCCAGCACACTAAACTTGGGTTGAGATGTGAGGGTGGAGGGGTTTCTCTCTGTCTCTATATAATTTATTATTCTTATTTTTCAAGCGTTTTCACATTGACCTTCAAATCAAACGCACTATTTCCCACCCTCATCTCTGCAGCGTTTTTACTCAAACCTTTTCTACTGCATTAGATCTTTATCTATCACAAAATTCCTCTGTTCTAATTATTTTGTCCTTTCCCCTCCTGCCCGTGATTTCATTTGACTGTAATATTTTTTTTAAAAAAAATAGGCCGCGAAAGGCCTCCATTCTTCAGGATGGAGGCGTTTCTCAAGGCCATTCATCCTCTGTTGCCCCCATGTGTCAAAGTTCAGACTGCAGGCTCCTTGGGGCAGAGACCCATCTCCTTGCATTCCACTTGATGGAATCGCAAGCCGTAGGTAGCAGCAGCAGCAGTTGCCGTTGTAACCATAACACTCTCTGCCCTATCCCAAGGTTGCTTGCGAGGCCGCCGGACCCACGGCAAATGCTTCCTGATCTTCAAGAACTTCGAGGTCTACGACGCGGCGCAAAAACTGTGCGAGCTCAGGGGAGGGAACCTGGCCATGCCAGCAGACGCCACTGAGCTGGCCATCCTGCGCCGCTACCTCTACGACGCCTTCCAGCCTAACAACTGGCCTGTCTGGGTGGGCATCAACGACAGGCGCTCAGAAGGGCTGTGGCTCTTCGAGAACGGGCAGCGCGTGTCCGTCTTCGACTGGTACCGCGACTTCCTGGTGACTCAACCCAACGGTGGCGCCCGGGAGAATTGCGTGTCCCTCAGCTCAGACGACGGAAAATGGTGGGACAATGACTGCGAGCGGCGGATGTATTACATCTGCGAGTACCGCCTCTAGGGGGGGCAGCTGTCTCAGGTCCAGTCTCAGGTGCGCATGGTCGCCATAGATATCCTTCCGCTTGCAGTGCAATGGTTAGCAGGTCTGGGCTATGTGGAGCTACAGCCTCTGGAAGGCAGTGCGCTCTGTCCCATTTTTCGCACCCCCAACCTTACCCCAAGGCACGCACCACACACTCTTACTGGTGGTCAAAACATCCCACTTATTTTGTAGCCCCCACACCATAATAAAAAGCACCTTGCCACCTCAGAGGAGGAAATGCTGTGTCTTGCAAACAGGAATTTCCATGTCCCTAGTGTCCCAACCCCCCCAGAAAAAGAGGTGCCAGAACTCACCACGAACACTTCCCTCGTTCTTTAAGAATGGCAATGGAGAGGTGCACATTCCAGCTGACAAAAAAGCCCGCATGTCCCAGAGTTTTGCTTTTTCTGCTGCATGGCGATTTGGCAATTGTAATTCTAACAGGATCTCTTGGGTACTAAAATGTTTTTAAGGGGCCTGGCGTGCAGTACACCTCAAAGTGTGGGTGGGGATTTTTTTATTGCTGAAATTGTGGCGCTGTCCCTGAAACCTGTTCATGGGCCTAGTCAGGATTTATGTTACGAGGGTCAGGGCACCCACCCGTCATGCTCCTCTGTCTGGTTCTGTCTAGCAGATTCAGAATGAAATGTCTCAACAACAGTTGTTTTTCGTGACTTTCTTTTGACCCCAAGTGCTCTGAAATCTTTCTACAATTTCTACTTTTAGTTACGTATTTTTATTAACTTACTTACCCCCCGGCTATGCCCATAAGCCTGTTGCAACACGTAAGACCATTCAGTTCCAGGTCGAGAAGCCATCGTGACTGGGGAAAACGCAGCTGTCTCTCTCTCCACTCTGAGGGTCAAACTAAACATGGCTTTTGTCACGCAGTGTGGCCTTGGTGGCACGGCCAATTTTTCCGTGACAAATAACTGGTGCGTTGGAGTCAGTGGCAGTGAACTGATGGCAGTAGTCAACTCTCTGCTCCCTTGTATGGATCGGGCCCTCTTGGGCCTACTCTTGAGTGAAAGAAAAGTTCCCATTTGACCAGAAGAGCAGTCCTAAGAGGAGAGTGTGCTCAATACCTTCCCAGGTCTGAACCGCATCCCTTCAAGCTACAATGAGGAGTGGGAACTTTGGGTACAAAATGGCTGCTTCAGAATTAAAGAGACTTGCACAAATTCATACACAGTTCGTCTTGACGGCTCCTCCGCATCAGCCCCTTTTCGAGCCCCCTCATAAATTCCTCAGCAGGGCAAACCTTTATGCTGAAGCGATTATATTCATATATTTAAAGCATCAGGGACAGCAGACCTACCCTATATAGGCAAAAATACTGACGGGTGACAAACTTGCTTTCAAATTCTCTGCTTCCCTCTGCACCCCAGACCTTTTGTGCAGCACCATCCTATGGACATTTACTCAGAAGTAAGCCCCACCAAGTTCAACGGGACATAGTGCCTAGTTTTAGGCCTAAGTGAGTTTAGGCTCAAGTGTCTTATCGCCCTATGTTGCTGGCCAGCTCTATGTGGGAGCTGGGCCTTCCTTTCTCCCCCCACTGAAGGACGTTTAGCAAGACTCGAAGGTGAAATTCCTCACCGTGTGCCTCTTTCCCTCAGCAGGGCCTATAAGCCGTCGCTGAATGAACTTTAGGAGCTCAAAGGGGGGAATGCTAAAAACCTGAGGGCTCTGGCACCTGCAAAGTGTGGGCAGATGAGGGGAAAGTAGAGACGCCACATGAGAGAAGTTATAGGCTGAACTGTGGAGTCAGATGGCAATTTAATTTCACCGTTGCCAGTGGAGTTTTTCTCTTGTATGTAACTCCCTTCAGCTCCCTTATACTGTCCCACTTTCTAGGGCAGCCTCCACCAAAAGGTGCTTTGAGATGATCATCGGTTAGCTCAGTTGGTTAGAGCGTGGTGCTGACAGAACGTCAAGGTTGCAGGTTCGATCCCCCCATGGGACAGCTGCATATTCCTGCATTGCAGGGGATTATAGAATCGCAGAGTTGGAAGGGACCCTGAGGATAATTTTTTTCCAACCCCCTACAATGCAGGAATAGGCAGCTGTCCCATACAGAGATTGAAGCTGCAGTCTTGGTGTTATCAGCACCGCGCTCTAACTACTGAGCTACCCAGACAGGGTTGGACTAGATGATCCTCAGGGTCCTTTCCAGCTCTACAATCCATGATTCAATCACTACAACTCCCATCAGCTCCAGGGAGCAGTGCTAATCCAAAATATTTGGAGGGTCCCAGCTGGTGAAGGCTGCCGCTGTCGTAGGGCATGAACCTGCTGCATTGGGGTAAATCTCTTCAGCTGCTTCTCCCCCCTCCCCGTTCACCCTTCTTAAGAAAACCAGAAGCACCCTTTTAAAATAAAGCATACTTTTATTTTCTTGTTGAAGCACCCATTTCAATTTTTGAAAAACACACACAAAAGAAAACATGTTCCAATACTGAACGGGGAGCGGGGGGGGGGGGGTTAAAAAAATGAAACCCAAGCGTTGTTCCTCGAAGCTGCCTCCACCCCCCCCCAAATGTGGGGGTGACATTAAGGGGAGGGGGCAGGAAAGAGAAAATACATGCATTCATGTTTTCAGCTTTGTTCCTCCATGTTCTGGAGAGACACGTTTCAGCCACATGCAAACCGTACTAGGGGTGTATGTAACGAACTTGGGGGGGGGCAGGGAAGAGTAGAAAGGAATGGGATAATACTTTCTTTGGTTTATTATGCTAACTGACTGCTTGCCCCAGAAGGGTGGGTGGTAGACCAGAGGGGGGGGCATCTCTGATCCCAAAGAGGGGAGGGCCAGTGTCCTCTAAACACCCTCTTTTTTCTTTACTCTGTTTTTGAGTCTTTCTAATCTGTGCCTGGGACCCCCACCCCACGCCATAGAGGAGAAAAGAAGGCAATCACATGATTTCAGGGGCAAAGGGAGATAGCTCGGGGCCTGAAGGGATTTCCCAGACACAATTTTCCCCATGCCCCCACCCTGCCCAATATCCTAGAAAAAGGAAATGAAAGGAGGCAGATGAGTTTGTTTTCTGATTAGATCCCTCCTCAAACTGCTGCTTGGGATATTAAACCATCAACATCCCCTGCCTTTAAGCTCAAAGGACACCTGGACACCAATATACATAAATATTCTATATATAATTTTTTTTTTAAGGGGAGGGAATTGGAAATCCACAATACCTACTGTGGAAAAACTGCCTCTTTCCCCTCCCCCAATTGCAATCCTCCACCCCACCCCCCTTGCAATATATGGCTAATTACAATCCAGCCCACTTGGAATATTCCACTCTGCTATTTTGTCCCACTTCCTCCACCTTCCTATGTGAGCTCCTTCTGCATTCCCCCTGCTTTTCAATTCCTGTGGTTTCCTCTATCGGAGTCCCTGCCAAATCCAACTCCCCCAAATCCTGCCCACCCTCAATCAGAGCTCCACCTCCCCCCCCTACACGCATGGAATATTCCAGCCCCACCTCTACTCTCCCCCCCCAACTTTCTTTGTGGGCCATTCCTGTCCTCAGATGCTCCCTCTCCTTTCCTTTCATGGAACATCCCTGTCCTTTGCTGCTGCGCATCTTCTACCAGGCAGGAGAGAAAAATGGGGCTGCAATGCGAGAGAAGCGCTGTGCAAGCCATACGCACCTCCTCCCTCATGTTCACACACCCCTTTTCCCTTGTGGCACGTGGAATATTCCTTCACATCAGGCCTCCCACCCCTTTGATGGACCACTTCTGTCCTCAGCCTCCTCTCCCCCCTCCAACCTTAAAATGGACCGTTCCTGTTCTCCAAAATGACTACTATGGCCATATCTATTATCTTTTCGCTCCAGGCTGTTTCTGGCTGATGGGCAGGCACCACCACCCCTCTCCAAAAAAGCGCCCAAATGGTTTGTTCTGCTCCTCTTCACCCTCTTCTGTTTCAAAACCACACAGAGCATTAAGCCTGGCCCACAGGGAAAGACAGAAGGGAGGAAAGAAGGAAGGAAGGGAAGAGGGTTCTCCGGAAGCATTTTTGCCACCCTCGTGCCATTGGGGGGGGGCAGGCAAAGAAGGGTGCCCTGCCCACCCAAGCCACCCACTCCCTTTCCCCGTGTCCTAATAGAGCATGGCTCGGTTGCCATGGAGGAACACCAGCATATCGACGTGCTCTGGCGTCAGGGCCTGCCGCTTGGTGTGCATGGCGTCGCCGGCGCTGCTGAACAGCCAGCCTGCGGGCACCGAGGTGGCAGGCACGCCAAGCAGCTTGCGGGCCGCCCGGGCCAGCAGCGGGTACTGCGTGTGGTGCGTCTTCCACCACTGCAGAGGGTCCTGGCCGAGGGCAGAGGCCTTGCTGGACTGGAAGCTGCTGGCCTCCTGCTCCACCTGCTGATGTGCCGAGCTGGCGCCCGAGGCGGCGCGCATGCTGCACAGGTCCCCCAGCAGGAACTCGATGCCTGCGTCTTGCTTTGGCACCTTGGCTGGCGGCGATGGGGGCAAGGCCATGCCCTGCGGGCCGGAGGCCTGCGCTGCCGGTGACTCCGCCAGCCGCGACGCTTCCGCCTTGAGCAAGTGGAGGGTTTCCACGCGGTCCGAGTGGCTCAGGAAGTCAAGGCCGCGGAAGCGCGGGTCCAGGGCGCAGGCCAGGTTGAGGGCCTGGTTGACATCTGGGCTGGAGAAGTGCTGGTTCAGTTCCTTCTGGGCCGCGGCCTTGGCTTCCAGCGCCAAGGCGGAGTCCCACTCGCTGCCCACCAGGTGTTTATAGAGAAGGCTGGTGAGCACAGGCTTGACAAGGGACAGGCTGGAAAAGGGGTCTTTGGTGAATGTCGAGGTAGCAATGGCCATGGGCTTGAGGACCTTGGCCGCGTCCCGAAGGGCAGCCCAGTCCTGGGGGCGCAGCGTCGCCTCCCCGTCGGGGCCGAGCCCCGCCAGAGGGTCGCTGTGCTCCAGCAGGCCTTGCAGGACGGCATAGGCGCTGTGCCACTTGCCCCCGTCCCGCAGGAAGCGGCCGAGGTGCGCTTGCAGGAGGGGCTCCTGGGCCCACAGTTTCTCGCTGCGGCCGGCCCCGGCCAGCGCCCAGGATGCCAGGCGCCGCAGCCGCTCAAAGGCACCCTGCGCTGCCGGCTGGCTCAGCACAGCCTCCATGGCGGCTCGCAAGGCCTGCCCGATGCAAGGCAGGGCGGTCCAACCGAGCGCCGCCGCAGCCTGCTGGGTAGTGAGCCCAAGGCCTCCGACGGTGTATGAGGTGCTCTCACGGACCCCCCACTCCTTGGCCGCCTCGCTGAGGGCCTCCGCCAGGCCGTCGGCACTGGGCTCTTCTGGGATGGGGCGGCTCGAGAGCACCCTCGCCCGGGCTTCGAAGCAGTCGTCCACGTAGTGCACGGTGAGAGTGAGGTAGGTGAGGGTGTTGCTGTGGCGCCAGATGTCCAAGCTGAGCGAGCACTGGGGCAGGGTCCGCACCAGCTCCCAGATTTTCCCCTTCATGTGGGTGTGCATGTCCCTCAGCACCGTGTGGGCCAGGGAGGCAGCATCTGGGGGCTTGTAGTTGGGGTCCAGGACCCCCAACATCTGCCCAAACCCTTCTCCTTCCACCACCTCCACGGGCATCAGGTCAAGCACGATGAAGTCGGCCACCGCCCGCGTGGTCCTGCCGGGGGCGGGAGGCCGGGGGGCTCCGAACTCGCTCGCCGTCCCCAGGACCCCTTTGTCCAGAGCGGCCGCCTGGGTCCCAACCAGCTGGTTGTACTCGCAGCGGTGCTTGTAGATGAGGTGCTGGCGTAGGTTGGTGGTGTTGCCACTGTAGCTGAGGCGGACTCCGCACAGCTTGCAGATGATTTTGCTCTTGTCCAGGATGCGGCCGTAGGCGTCCCCCTGGAACCCAAAGAAAGTCCAGTAGCGGCTCTGCGCCCTCCCCAGCCCCACCAGGTTCTGCGTCCCTTCCAGCAGCGGGAAAGGGCTCCCTCCCGGGGGGAGGCCTGGCTTGTGGAGGGGCAGCAGGGGAGAGGCGGCGGCGTCTCCACACAGGTACTGGGTGCGGGAAGAAGGGGCGTGGGGAGCGGGAGGCGGCGGCGGGGTCTTGAGGTGCAGCTCCTGGAAGAGTTTCATCAGCAGCTCCTTCTCGCCAAATTCGTACTTAAAATGCTCGCCTGGAAGGGAGAAATAACAGCGCAAAGGTGAGGGTCCGCTACATCTGCCGAGGTGCAAGGCAGCCAACCCTGGAACTGTCCCTCTGCTGTTGTGGGGTGAGCAAATTGTGGCATGGGAGTTCCCCACCACCACTTCCCCCATGCTATTTAGCAGCACAGTCCCTCACCTCCCCCCAACCAACACCCCAGGTTAGGGCCCTGTTAAGTCTGTTCAACAATCTGGCCATGGCTGAAGAGGCCTCCATCTCTGCTGCTGGAAAGATAGACCAAACTGGATGGCTCAGTTGGTTACAGCATAGTGCTGATAGCACCAAAGTCGCAGGTTCAATCCCCGTATGGGACAGCTGCATATTCCTGCTTTCCAAGGATGATCCTCAGGGTCCCTTCCAACTCTACAATTCTGTGATTCTATGTGTGGGGAACCTTTGCACCTCCCGGATGTGGATGAACCACAACTTGCATCAGACCCACCAAGCAGTAGTGTCAAGAGGCGGCAATGCTTCTTGGTACCAGTTGTTGGAAACCGCAGGAGAAGAGTGCTCTTGTGCTCAGATCCCGCTTATGGGTTTCCCACAGGCATCCAGTTGGCCACTGTGAGAAAAGGATGCTGCACCAGATGGGCCTTTGGCCTGATCCAGCAGGCTCTTTCCATGTTCTTACGGACCCGAATTCCAAAGTCCCTCCTTATTCCCAGTGGCTGGTCAGGAGGGACCCACAAACTTTGAACTGTGGCAGCCACTTCACATGTGCAGTTGCCATGACCCTATACTTCTCCTGCTTTTGTACCTGGTGCCATGCTGAGCTGTGGAACTGCTCTGAGCACAGCACAAGGCTTAGGGAGAATGCCTTCCTTGCCTCCAAGCCTGGGAGAACAGGGAGGCGTTTTCTTTCTTACCCACCCAAGTGCAGGGGGGAAAGGGGGCTGCAAAGGTGAACACGGAGTCAATGACCCCTTGCCACTCCATCCCAAAGCTGTGTACACCAGCTCTTCAAACAGTGTGCCAGGCTGGGTCTACATTTAAGCAACATTGTACAGTCATACCTTGGAAGTTGAACGGAATCCGTTCCAGAAGTCCGTTTGACTTCCAAAACGTTTGGAAACCAAAGCACAGCTTCTGAGTGGCTGCAGGAAGCTCCTGCAGCCGATTGGAACCTGCGGAAGCCCCGTTGGACATTCAGGTTCCAAAGAACATTTGCAAACTGGAACATTTACTTCCAGGTTTGCGGCATTCGGGAGCAAAAACATCTGAGTACCAAGGCGTTTGGGATCCAAGGTCCGAATGTACTGTGAATTGCTTTGGTTTGATTCTGTTGCAGGAAAAAACTTAAAAATAAATAAATGTTGCGTTCCCAACAACAAAAACTTGGCAATAATGGGAAATGAAGGCTAGTTGTGGGGTAAAGAAAGACCCTTTATGGGTAATCTGGGAGCCTAGGAATATAACCACAAGCCAAGATGCCACAGTATTCCATACAGTAGCACCACTGGGGCAAGAAGCCCAGGGACCCCACGCAGGAGAATGAGAAGAGCCCTCAAAGCAGTGAGGCTGGCTTGCCCCATTTTGAATTCAGTGAAGGAATGCACACTGCAATGCAAAGAGGACCCCCAACCCAAACCCCACACAATAGAACTATTAAATCCAGAGCCGAAATTATCTCCTGTTTCTAGGTCATATGCGAGGAATGAAACTCAGGAACTATTTCCTCAATGGGGTAATGTTTTGTGGCTGTTGTTAGCATTGGGGAGGGTCATGGGGTATGTTTAAAAAGATAACCCCGATCATTTGGCTCTTGGGTGCGCTTTGTCCCTAACTGGGCTCACTGCACATTGCTGTGAAGATCTCAGGTTTGATTCCTGACACCTCTAGTTTAAAAATGACCAGGCAGCAGGGAGTGGGACGGACGTTTGCAGGAGATCCAGGAAAAATCATCACCGGTCAAGAGTATCCAATTGTCAGACCTGGTGCTCGGCAGCTTCCTTAGGTGATTACAAGACTGTGGGGAGAAGGGAACATGGGAGGCCTTGCAACATGTCCCACTCCCCTCCTCCTCTTCTTTTTGCCTACCTAAGCGTAATCCCAGCGTGCGTGCATACTCCTCCCCTATCCACACCAGCAGCTCTGTGTCGGCAGGTATGGTCTGGCAGACCCGGTAGTAGATATAGCCCCGGTACTGGAAAACAGTCAGGTTCTGCTCCTCCTCGGTGGAGGCGCACGCCACATATCTGCAGGGAGGAAGCGGGGATGAGTCACACTGTGGTTTTTTTGGGGGGGGCATGCGTCATGCTTTACTCGCTGGTGGATGCACCGAGCGGTAGCCGCAGCAGTACGACTCCAGGGTAAAGCCAGCCCACAGTCTGCAAGGAGGCTGGAAGCACTCCCCTATGACTAAACAAGCATTCACCACGGGAATCACTCCATCATCCTATGGGGGCTGAAAAGCTGCCAAACCTAATTCATCACGGGGTGTGTTTGTGTGTAGCTCCGTGGATATAATGTACGCAACTAAGCTGGGACGGGTGTATATTCCCTTCCTTCCTTCCGCTGGGCCTCTCTCCCAAAGGGCTCACCTCATCCAGTTGGATCTAGAATCATCCGACGCGTCGACAAAGAAGTAGGAGCTGTTGTCCTGCACCTGAAGGAGGGATGGAAAGTTCAGGGAAGGAGAAGAAGAACGAAATGAAAGCTCCACTCTCACCCAACCTCTACCTTAGGGCTCCTCTGTATGTATTTACAGAGCAACCATCCTAGATTTGCTTGCGCAAAACTTGTGCAAAGGTTAGATTATATCCAGTCTTAATTGATCACCCATTCTGAAATGCTTGTGGGGAGGTTACATGACAGTAAGCGGTCATCCTGAATTCCCAGCAGGCTCTTTATATGTCTCTCCCCTCCCCACTTTGATCATTCATTCATTCCACACTTCCTGGTGCATTTTCCTGACACTTTCCCAACCACAGAAAAGTCTTATTTCTTTTGCCCTAAAGTGGATTTGTTGCACTAGGCTGATATCGGGTGCTTTTACTGCACTCCAAATGTGCAAATCTGAATTTCACAGTAGGAATGTGAAACCCTCCTGCAAAATAGTTCTCGATGCACGCTTAAGAATTTGCCTGATATCGCAGGCACCCCAGCCCCAAGGGACAGGGCTGTGCTTCCAAGTGGATGGCTTAAAAGTGTGCCACGATCTGGGCCCAGGTGTGTGTGTCACTCTCACTGTACACTAACCCATCACTTTTGGCAGCCTAAGGTGGATTTCAGGTCTGCAAGCCAGAAAGCATTTCAAAAGGGAATAGAGCGCCATCTACAGTGGATCTGAAAAGCGTCAAATGCCTTAAAGTAGTTGTGAGCAAGTTTTCATATTTTTTAAAAAATATTATTATCTAGACTACCCCCAGGGCCTACTAACTGAAGCCGGGTACAAAATAGTGACCCAGAGATCTCAATCCAGAAAAGCTCAGGAGAAGGAGCCAATTGCTCCCTTCAGCCAATAAAGTCAAACACAGAGATAATTTACAGGTAGCTAATACAAATCAATATCTACTCCAGTCAATTTTGTGTGTGTGTAGGGCCAACAGTGGACGCGGGTGGCGCTGTGGGTAAAAGCCTCAGCTCCTAGGGCTTGCCGATCGAAAGGTCGGCTGTTCGAATCCCCGCGGCAGGGTGCGCTCCCGTTGTTCGGTCCCAGCGCCTGCCAACCTAGCAGTTCGAAAGCACCCCCGGGTGCAAGTAGATAAATAGGGACCGCTTACTGGCGGGAAGGTAAACGGTGTTTCCGTGTGCTGCGCTGGCTCGCCAGATGCAGCTTTGTCACGCTGGCCACGTGACCCGGAAAGTGTCTCCGGACAGCGCTGGCCCCCGGCCTCTTAAGTGAGATGGGCGCACAACCCTAGAGTCTGTCAAGACTGGCCCATACGGGCAGGGGTACCTTTACCTTTACCTAGGGCCAACAGTCTTTTTGAAACTGCCTTTGTTGAGCAACTGGGAGCCAGAAACGCATGCAGATCAACTGCAAGTCATCCAAGGACTTATCAGTTACAGTGGAACCTTGGTTCTCGAACTAAATCCGTTCCGAGAGTATGTTCGACTTCCCAAACCGTTCGAAAACCAAGGTGTGGCTTTCGATTGGCTGCAGGAGCTTCCCACACTCAACTGGAAGCTGTGGAGGACATTTGGCTTCCGAAAAACATTCACAAACCAGAATACTTACCTCCAGGTTTGCAGCATTTGGAAGCTGATTTGTTCGGGAGCCAAGGCGTTTGGGAACCAAGGTACCACTGTATTCCCAACCAACCTTCTGCCCATCCTTCCACACGGACCAATTTACTGAGCAGCTTTGGATTCCGGTTTCCTGCCCTCCTTTAGGGTTGCAGGGAGACTGTGTATCCTGATCACCCAAAACACACCTGGAAAAATATTCCACTTGAGCCTTTCCATGTACCAAAGAGCAGCAAAGCTGCCATTTTGCAAATCTTGGCTCAGGTGAACATGAAAAGAGCATGCTGGATCACACCAGAGGCCTGTTTAGTCCATCACTGTGTTCCTACAGTGGCCAACCATATGTCTCTTGATAGGGCAACAATAGCCCTCTTCTTGCTGTTGCTGCCTAGCGACTGATACTCAGAGGTCTCTGATACTGAAGGCAGTTTGTGACAAATAACCTTTTCCCCACATCTGCATTTTATTTCATTTTTAAAAACGAGAGCTTTATCTTCTTCCTCTCTCTTGAGAAGCAAAGGAAGGATTAATTGCATGCAAGCGGCTGTTGCAATGCGGTGAGTGTTGTGCTCAGATTGGAGAGTCCAGAGTTCAAATCCTCACTCGGCCAGGAAGCTTATTGGGTGGCTAGGGCATGCTGCAATTTTCCCCAGCCTTACCTAGCTCTCGATCTCCTGGGGTTGCTGAGATGTCAAAACTGAGGGCAAGGGCAACACAGACGGAAGATGAAATAGCTCATTGCTAGAGCATGCATGCACTTTGCTTTCGGAAGATCCCAGGTCCAATGACTGATATTACCTGGCCAGGCTGGGAAAGACCTCTCTGCCTATCAAGAGTAGACAATACTGAGTGAGATGGACAGAGAGTCTGGTGCAAGAGGCCTGAGTTCTGTGGCCTTGGTCAGGTTCTATCAGCCTGGATAGCTCAGTTGGTTAAGAGCATGGTGCTGATAACACCAAGGCTGCAGGTTCAATCCCCGTATGGGGACACCTGCATATTCCTGCATTGCAGGGTGTTGGGCTATATGATCTTCGGGGTCTCTTCCAACTTTACAATTCTGTGGTTTAAAAATAATGTTAAAAATGTAGCAGAAAAACCACATTTAAAAACAGAAACAACTCTCTCGACCACCTCATCAGTGTGGACAGAAGAGAATTGACTGCCACTGAATAAGGATTTGTGCTAGTCTTGGGGTGAAGGTGCTTGGGTTTGAGGATCAGCTGAACTAAACCTTTTATTGCATGTGTGGAAAGATCCATAGCCCACAATCAGCCTTTATAAGGCTTAGAGCAGGTCTGGGGAAGCTGCGGCCTTCTGGATATTTGTTAAGACTCCAATTCCCATGAGTAGGGTTGCCATATGTCCTAGAATTCCCTGACATGTCCTCTTTTGGGGGTCCTACATGCCCATCCGAGGGGAATTTTACATTTTAAAGCAAATGTCCTGGTTTGGGGGTTTAATATGTGTGTGTGTGTGTGTGTGTGTGTGTGCGCGCGCACGCGTGCACGTGTGGCTCTGGTTCAGGCTCTGGCGTGGCAGAAGCGGTGGGGTATTGGGCGATTGCCCTAAAAAATCTCAACATTTTGTGTTCAGCTTTTTACCTCTTGAAATATGGCAACCCTACCATCAGCCTCATACCACTTTAAGCAGTCATGGCTTCCCCCACTGAATTCTGGGAGCTGTAGTTTGCGAAGGGGGCCAAGCGTTGCTAGGAGACCCCTATCACAGAACTACAAGTCGCAGAGTAGTTCAACAATCAATCCCTTTCCCCAGGGAGCTCTTATTCAGCTGCCTTCCTCCAGTGGCCATTATCTATCATAATCATTAACAGTAGCTTAATCTGGATTTGCAGACCTATCTATTTCAAGTATCCTTTGACTAATGAGGTTTTATTGGATATGCTGCTGATTTTCTGCTTTGTTGTTGCCGTCTGTGATTAATTTAACGCTGGCAGTTTTGCGTTTTCCAAATGTTCTTGCTTCCCTTCGAATTTTCGTAATTTATGAAGTTTTAGGAAAATTCACTTTCTGCAGTTTATATTGTTGTCCAACTCCTGAAGAGAGAGCACTTTGGTCAGAAATATGGCCTAAATGATGAACATAAGCAAATTAAATGGAAATCGCAGCAGGAGATCCAATTGTGGATTTTTTTTTTTTGTATTGCCACAGTTTTGACTGAGCAAAAGATCTTCAGCACAGCTAGGAAAGATTTCCCCTGGAGCCAAAACTAGACTTGAATGCCTTTGCATTTAACTTGTAATAAATAAAGATATGCATAGGTATTAGTTGGGGTGGTGATAAATCTATAGCATCAAAGCAAGCACAGAGAGGCGGTTTAACCATCTCTTTCCCTGCTGCCATTCGGAGAAAATTCCTTCCCTGAAGCCAGTATTTACATTGGAGGGAAATTCCCCATTGACATAAATGAGAGATTTGCCTCCTTTAAATAATTTTTTGCCATAGGAGAGGAAAGTGTTAATTTCCCTCCTCCAAATCTCTCTCCCCCCCCTCCAGCTTATGCAAAATTTGAAATAAACTGGCATCTTTAATTCAAAGATACATACATTGCTGCATGTAGTTTGCTCAGAGCTTTGAACAGCTACTACAAGTCAAAGTTAGCATAAAAGCACAGGGGACTCCAAACTGAAAGGTGGCACCTCAATCTAAGGCTGATCTTTGCATATTTACAGCTCGATCCTAGGCAGAATCAGGTGCTCAAATAACCACAGATGCCTTTGAAGGATGACATCATTGTGCCCACAAATACAGCCACCATTTAGTCAAGGGGATTTCTGTTGTTGTTGTTTCGTTTCATAATGCTATAATTCGTGGCAAACCGAAGGCATCTGTGGAAAAAGGGAGGAAGCCTCAAGGTGACCCAGAGGTACATTTTTGGAGCCCCACATTGTGCCAAAACATAAATCTTTCTTCAGGGACCTTTTGGGGCACAACCAACTCAACCCTTTGGTCTTGGCGGCCAAAGGAAACTGGTTTGGGATTTTATTTGTCACATGTTTATCCCACTCTCCGCGAGGAGCTCAGGGTGATATTACCCCTGCTGCCACTCCCTTTATCGTCACAACACAGTATGTTGGGCTGAGAGACAGCAACTGGCCCAAGTCAGCTTGGTGGCCAAGTGGGAAATTTAAGCCGGAGTTTCCCTGAGTCTGACAACCAGGAACGGGGAACTGGTGGCCCTACAGGTGTTCTTGAGACTCCAGTTCCAGTCAGCATGGCCAATATTGAGGGATGATGGGGAGTTGTGGCCTCCAAATGGGGGTACAGGCTCTAACTGCTGCACAACTAGATTCTCTACTAGATTTGCAGTGGACCACAAAGGCCATTATAGTGATCAAGTACAGAGCCTAGGACTTGCCGATCAGAAGGTCGGCGGTTCGAATCCCTGCGACGGGGTGAG